GCTGGTGTTGCTGCTGCTGTTATTGCTGCTGGTTAGGGTGCTGTCGCTGTTGTTGCTGCTGCTTTCGTCTGAATGGATTGACGCCGAGGCAGTTGCAGCAGCACCACCACCAGCAGCAGCAGCAGCAGCAGGAGCAGCAGCAGCAGCAGCAGAAGCAGCAGCAGCAGCAGCAGCAAGGTGTCTAGAATGCATGGTCTCAGTTGCATGTTTCTTTAAGCCTTCTCGCGCACTCTTCAGTGCTACTAGCAGCAACCCATCTGCTTCTGTTGCTGCTGTTGCTGCTGTTGCTGCTGCTGCTGCTACAGCACCATCAACAGCAGCAAGACGCTGCTCCTGACGAGCAGCAGAAGTGCTTTGGTATCTTCTCACTGCAGCAGCAGCAGCAGCAGCAAGCTGCTGCTGCTGCCAAGACACCAGAGAATGAAGCCCACGTAGCTGCTTGTTTAGAGCCTCCCGCTGCTGCACTTCTGCTGCTGATAGATCAGGCCGTGCATGCACCCAGTCTGCTGCTGCTGCTGCTGCTGCTGCTGCTGCTGCTGGTGCTGCTGCTGGTGCTGCTGCTGCTGCTGCGAACTCTGGATCTGAGGAGTTGCCAGCGACAGCTGCAGCAACTGCTGCAGCTTCTGCTGCTGCTGTGTCTGCTGCTGCTGCAGCAGCCCACTCACTCACAGAGGGGGGCCGCTGCAGCAGCAGCAGCTCGGAGCCTTGGGGCCCCTTCTGCAGCAGCGCGCCTTCTGCATGCAGCAGCAGCAGCAGCAGCTCGTAACCAGCAGCAGACAGCACCCCGCTAGGGCAGCTAATTCCATCACTGCTGCTGCCCCCTTTGCTGCTGCTGCTGCTGCTGCTGCTGCTGCTGCTGCTGTCTCCCTCAGCAGCAGCAGAAGCAGCAGCGCTCGTTGCATCTGCTGCAGGTCCATCGTCTTTCTTCCCTTCTCGCTGCTGCTGCTGCTGCTGCTGCTGCTTCTGCTGCTGCTGCTGCTGCTTCTGCTGCTGCTGCTGCTGCTGCTGCTGCTGCTGCTGTGGAGCTTCTGGCGCATGCACGAGAAGCACAATTTGCTGCAGCTGCTGCACAGACACCCCAACTGCTGCTGCCCATGCTTCCCAGCTCGTCAGCAGCAGCT